TAACAATGCTGAGAAGAAAGCGCTTACAAATAGTTCATGTAAATGGTGATTTCCAATTCTAGGCTCTTTTGCGAAGGCTACGTGTTTGAACTGTTCAGCAAAGTTTGATGGTGACATCATAAGGGAGGATGTGATGGCGAAGGTGTGGTATCGTTTGGTTCTCCATTTATGAATATCTCGTTCTCTCTTGCTTGTCTTCCCTGTTTATTTCGATCATTTCAGCGTGTCGCGCATTGTCCTCGATGTACTGTTGGTGTGATTAAGCCAGATATTGTTTTCTTTGGCGAAGATCTTAGCAAAGATTTCCATACACAAATGGCAATTGACAAAGATGATGTGGATCTTTTGGTAGTGATAGGTCAGTTTTAACATCATCTGGGCTTGTTAAAAATTGTTATGCAACCAATCATTCTAGGATCTTCATTGAAAGTTCGCCCAGTATCGTTGATACCTTTCAGCGTCGACCCTAATGTGCCTCAGATCTTGATAAATCGGTAAGCTTATTCTGTTTTCTTTAAATTTCTCATTCTTCTCCCATAAAATTTTTTTCTCTCTCTTTTACAAATACGTTTTCTCCCAAACACTCCTCTTATGTATTATTCTTCTTCCCTCAAACACTCCTCTTCGTGATGTATTATTCTGTCTTCAGCGAACCGCTCTCAGGATACAGAGCAGATATTGAACTCCTTGGCAACTGTGATGATATCATTGAGGATATCTGTTTAGCACTTGGAGGCCCATTTGTGAAGATGTTAGAAGCACATCGTAGGTTTATTATATACTTCCAATTTTCCAAAAGATTCAAGTTTTTCTTCTGCAGATAACAAACTGAAGGAGCGGTTGAATGAAGCTGCTGCTAAGGGCTGCAACGAAAGCAGGCAAAATACTTCATTGATTTCTGAAGCAAAGAGAAGAAAATGTATCACAGAAGAAGAGTTTCTTCAGGTAAGTTAAGTTTAAAATGGAAAGATTTGCCTTTTCCTCAGAATTCATTTTTCATTTTTAGATCATGAAACGATTGGAAATCTCTGACATTTCTGAAGGAAATGACTCCGAAGGTGTAGCAGTTAAACGACCGCGATTAGAGGACATGTATGAGAGACGGTATATTCCGGTAGCGAAACACCTTCCAGAACACACGTACTTCCAGGTTAACTTACTTCTGGTTTGACCATTGCATCTTGTTTTCACATTATAACATTTTTGATTTTTTTTT